TGTGACATTCTTTATGAGGCCCATCTGTCGATATAGTACTTTAGGCGCATCTGTCGGGGTTATGAGGTTCTCTATTAGGCGCTTCTGCCGGTAGAGTCCTTTAGGCGCATCTGCCAGGGTTATCTCGTTTATTGACAGTATCGTTTTCGAGAGTCCACTCGCAATACAGGTCAATGGGTTTTTAGAGTACACCGGTGAACACATCGTTCACAACACCTACAGGTTGCGAGCCTGCTAGTGTTCCACTAAACTATCTAGAATAGTCCGTGGTTGTCATCCATACTCTGCTAGATGACGGGGCCAGCATTTGGAAAAAGGCTTCTCACATCGTCCACCTCTCACCCTTACCTCATGGTCTATATTACCTCTCAACTTATCGATAAACTCATATTTCATCTACCCATGTTTTACCCCAACATTTTTGTAGATATAAAATACATATACATTTTAAATCATTTAAAACATGTATAAAAATCTTTCACCAGCATAGACATCAAGTATTCAGATAATATCCGCACATAGCACGTAGTTTATATTAAATACTTCATATCTATGTGTAAGATGAAAGTAACTATGCACTCACCAGATAAGGTGGTGACTCGGTACTCGAACAGCGCTTCGTTTACTTAAAACAGCTTCTTTCAACAAAACCTAGTATCGTTACCACTAGAGTTTAGTCTAAGGTTCGACGAGACTAATTAATAGTCTAGCTATTATTACTATTATATAAGCATTAAACAATACTCTTCGCCTACTATGTACAGACAGGGGCCAGACATAAAACACCGGAGGGCAGGACCATTTTGGCATATAGCACTTCTGAAATCCAACAACCCTATGCGGCCCTTTAAACCAGATTCCCCGTACTGCGAGTAGTTAAAAAGATATTATAACGACACTTATATAACCCATAATAATAGCTCAAATAATTATTATAAGCTCCTAATAACATTACCATATTGAATCATAAGCTATACTGAAGATAGGGTAGGCGTAGCTCACTTACAACGGGTTTTCCTCAAAACCGGGCTCTGCCGAAGCAGAGTTTCTGAGCTGAAGGCTCTTCTTTTCGGAGTAGACGGGCGCTCCGAGGCTTCCGCCTCGTGCTAGGGGGTTCCCTAGGCTTTTTGGGGGGTTTTAGGGCTTAGAGAGATGTTCTAGAGAGAGAGAGAAGTTGGAATGTGTGAGGAATTGCTTTCACCCGGCACCTCTATTTATAGGGGTCTGGAGGTCAATTCACGTCGTGAACCATAAATTCACATCGTGACCAGCTGGAGACACCCAGGCACAGCCTGGTGCTAACACGTGGCATCGCACACAGGGTGGAAATCAGCCGATTTTCAAAAATTCATAACTTTTGCATACAAGCTCCGTTTTCGACGTTATTTATATCCACGCGTAGGTAACAATAAGATCTACAACTTTCATGTTGGCTCCATCGGCTAATTCTCGACCGATCTTAAATTTAACAGTACGAGGAGATTATATTGTTAAATATCCGCGTCAAATTCATAACTTCTACATACGGACTCCGTTTTCGTCTATCTTTTTACCGTTGAGTTCCTATTAATGAGATCTTCAACTCTCATTTAGGTCGCGTAGGCCAAAAACCGTTCGATCTAAAATTCGAGTTTCGGGTCGTGCACTGTTATGTCAAATCTTAGAAAATTCATAACTTCCTCATACGAAGTCAGATTTGGGCGTTCTTTTTTTGTATGTTCTTAGTTTAACGTATATTACAAGTTTTGTTTAGATTTCTAAGGCTAAAAAGTCCTCCATCGTAAATTCACTATTTACGTCTCCCGGTGCCGTGCCGGTTTTGCCGAAAAACTTCGACGGGTCATAACTTCTTCGTTATAACTCGGATTTCGGCGTTCTTTATATGTACGGAACCCTTGTAACATATACTACCACTTGGAAAAGATTAATACTTCTAAATAATATTCCATCAAAAACTCATTTTTTTTATGCTTATTGTCTCTAACTTGACTAGCCCGGTTCTGCGGGCGTTACAAACAAGTGTTATAATAATGTACCTTCTGAATGATGTTCCGACTAGGAGGATAGTTGGTTGCCATATAACTGTAGTTCCTCTCCACATTTGTGACAAATAAGTTCAGGCTTGGTTGTAGGTGGTTCCGGGTGGTTTTGGGAAACCGAAGATTGGTTGTTCGAAAGGTTGGGTCGGTATGTTATAAGATTTTGATGATTCTCGGATGGTTTTGGGTAGGACTGATGGTTTCACTGATGAGGAGCTTGGTATTGATTCTTTGTTGTTATTTTGAAATCGGTTTTGATAAGGTTTTGGATTCGGGATGTTAAACCACGGATGGGTACATTGGTTGTATTTCATGGTAAGCATGTCAAACTCATGATGAAAGTCTTGTTCGTCGGAATCAGTTTTAGGATCGAAACCAAAGATTCTTCTAGAGTCTAAACATTTGATTCTTAAACGAGTGATGATATCAGAACATTGCCAGGTGGAGTAAAGTTGGTTGAACTGAAAAGTTCACGAGGTCCACTAGAGATTTCTCTCATAGTTTGTGCCACATTCGATTCACGTCCTTGAAGTTCATCAAAAAACTGAAAAGGGGTCAATTTTTTCAATGAACCATTGTTTTGCAAGCAAGACTTGACATTACCCTAAATCTTTTCTTAGGTTGTTAATGAACTTCATATTATGTTTAATAGGTATTCTTGAAACAACATGGGTTGTGAGGTTGATAACCAGAATGTGAAATATGTTAGAGGAAGATAGAATAGATTCACAGGGAAGGGTTGAGAAGTGTCATAATCATTGACAACATATGTTAATCTCTTTTCTTTGACATTTTATGACCCTTCTAGCTAGAGTATCCCAGATTTCATTGGCACGTTTGCATAACTTGATATGCTTAAAAAGATGACGAGGTACACCAAAGATCATCTCAGACAAGGCAATATTATCAGCATGCATCTTCTCGATGTCAAGATTTGTAAAATGAGCTTATCAAATCTCTTCCTGACCCGGTAGTTGAGCAATTACATCTCTAACCACGGTTCTAACTGGAACATGGGGACCTTCAGTTATAGATCTCCAGCTTTTTTTTCCTTTTTTCTTTTGGTTTTAAAAAGTGTTCTATTCTGATCATCCGATGATCATATTCCTCAACCACCAGTAATGGGGCTCGAGTACGGCAACCCACATTGTTAGTTATATGCATCGAATATAGCGATTGATTAGGATTAGTCATTGTTTAGTTCTGAAAATAAGATTGACAACTGTGTATATATATAAAGAACTTTTGTCCTATAGAACCAAAAATGCAAGAGAAAACTAATGTAATCTCAAGCATTAATAATCTGGTCAAATGGATTCAAAGAAAAACTACTTAGGCTCTTATACCAATTGATATAGTAAAAATAAACTAACAACAAGACTAATAATAATGTTCTAGTTAAGAGTCTGAATGAATCCAATTTGAAGACATGAAAATAATCAACAATTATTTAATTCAAGTATTAAATGTACAAATAAATGACTTGAATGATGTTAAGGGCCAGTACAACAAAGGGTATAACTAAAAAGACTGTTTAATAGGAATCAAACATCTAAAAAAAGATTTCCTATTGATCTTTTTTCCAATCTTAACACACACTAAAGACAAACATTTGTACAGATCTCAAATTGGCCAACTTCAAATAGCAAGTATGTCGGATACCTTTGGTCACTTTTCATGATCTAACACTTTCCTATCCATTTTATGAATTTAATGGTCTAATCATTTAAGTGGGTTAACCTTTTGGTAAAACACACTTTCCTCATCCGGACATTTTTAACCCTCAAACCCTAAATGTTATAATTTCAACATTTAACTTTTACAGCTATCATTTAAACTAATATTAAAATTCAAATTTATTATTTCCATTATTATAACTTGTTTATTTATTTATGTATTATTTTTAATTTGTATAAATAAAAAACTTAAACTACTCAAAAATTCAAGCCCCAAAAAACGGGTGTTACAACAACCTTTTAAATTTTTTTATAAGTTTTTAAACATTTTTACATAAAGTTTCTTTTTTAAAATATATTTTTATAACATATTTAAACTGTTTTACAAGTTTTTTTAAATTTTTTTATATAAATTTTTAACTTTTTTTACAATCTATGAAGGTTGAAAAAACATAATAAAATTTTTTTATAACATATGTGAAAATGTTTAAAAATGCTTATTTCATTTTAGAGATTCTTTTTTTTAAAATGAAAATGTTTAAAAATGCTTATTTCATTTTAGAGATTCTTTTTTTTTAAATAGAATTCAAGAAGTTTTTACCAACTTATAATTTTTATACCTTTTTACTTGCGTTTTTTAGAATATTTGAAATCTTTTAAACTTTTTACTTATATTTTTTCATCATTCTTACAAAATAGTTTAAAATGTTGTAATTTACATTAAAAAGGTTAGTTAAAAGTTTAAAAAAAATGTTGTAAGAAATTTTTAAAAATTGTGTAAAATAAGTTTAGAAAAAGTTCAAAATATTTAAAAAAAGTGCTATAAAAAGTTTTGTTTTTTTTTTAAGAATAAACATAAAAAAGTTATAATTTTTTTTAACTTTGTGAGAAAAGTTTGTAAAAGAAGTTTAACAAAGATTGTACAAGTTTATAAAAAGTTTGTGCAAAAGGTCTCGAAAACGGTTTAGAAATATTGTAAAAATATAAATTTGAAAAAAAAAAAATAATCGTTTCAAAAGGATTTGAAAAAAAAAATGGACCAAATTTGTAACATAAATTTAATCTTAGGGCAAAAAATAAAAATATATAAATATATAATTGACCTCATAACTTATAATAACAAATGAAAACACATAAACCCTAAATTTAGTACCTTTTTATATAATAAATTAAATTTGTTCACAATTTGAAGATTATATAAATAGTTTGTTTCATAAAACAAGTAATGTTACATAAATCATTTACTTTACATCATACCAAAACACAAACTATGAATATACATATACACCCTCTTTACCCGTTGAATCCGGCAACAAGTGAAGTCGACGAGCGACGCAAATGACGCTCAATGAGCAACAAAACTTTAGCAGCTTTCCGATGAAGATGACCGTCTTCATGAATACTACCTCCGGTCAACCGGACAAGAGGTATTCTCGCGCCCGCACCATACCAATCAACCATTTCCGTCAACATAAACAGTTTCTCCAACACCTCCAAAGCCTCCACCTTCAACGACTCCGACCCCCAATTTAAAACCTCCAAAATCGGAACCACCGCCCCACAATCATGCAAAACATGAGCACCTCTCCGAGGCGACTCCTTCTGTACCAAAGTCGAAAGCGTCTGAATTGCTTCATACGTTGTGGCATGGACCTCAGAATGCAACAGCTTCACCAGCTCCGGTAACGCCCCCGCCTCCAAAACACAAAACGTACCCTTCACGCTGCAGATCCCGCCATGGGCGGCGCACATGGCGGCACCGGTGCGGCCGAAACACGAGCACCACCGGTTTGACTTTGAGGTCACGGTGAGTTCGGAGCTTCGCATCGAGAGATCACCGATTAGAGCAGCGGCGCGTGCTTTTGCTGTCACCGAACCTTTTTTAAGAAAATCCACAAGTAAACCGTAGGTCCCGAGCTCGACGACTATTTTCTGAGACTCGATATTCGTCGGATCTGTAAACCGGAAAAGCGCACTCAAAGCGTTCTCTTTCGCCTCTGTGCTTCCCGATTCCAGTATGTCTATAATCGCTTTAAGTCCTTCCAACTCAATTAGTTTTTTTGTCAATTCAACTTCCGATTTCGGAACGTTCGCTAGCAAACCAACCGCAGCCTTTTGTACGTCGCTTTTCCCGGAGTTTTCAAGAAGACCGATGAAAGCCTCGAGTCTTCTCGGCTTTAAAAGGAACTCCGCCACTCCCTGCGGTTCATGATTCGAGAATAAAAACAAGAGGTTGATGGCGGCTTCGCGTGTTTCGCTATCGGAGTGATCCAGAAGCGTTAGAACAAGAGAAACACCGCTAGCGGTGACCACGGCGGTTTTCACCAGTCCGACGTCCGATTCACATATTTTAAAAAGAACACGCAACACCGGCCTCAATACAGTGTAAGGTAATCTCGAATTTTGTAAAAAAGCTAATAAATTCTCGACTAATGACTCTAAATTAAGCTTGACGCCATTAATGTCCACAAGAAACTTGATTCCATCGCCATTAGAGGTGAGTTTTTCGAGGATTTGAGAGCATTTGGAGAGGATGAGAAATGGTAAAGGTAAAGAGCGCATTAGGTTGAGCACTAGAGGGACTCCATCAGAAGCTGTGAAAAGGGTTTTGTTGTCTGAATTTGTTAAAAGCTTTACAAGCATTGATAACGATACTTCTTTTGATTCCAGATCAGCAGATGCCATTTCGAGCAAAGGTGGAATTAAACCTAGCGAACATAGGAGCTTTGTGTTATGTTCTTCAAGCTCCAAATCAACAATCCCTCTTAGCATTGCCATTTTTGTTTCTTTTGGACCTTCGATGACAATCAAATAAATGAATTAGTGAAAAAAAAGGGGAAAAGGAACACAAAGATGAAATTTTTTTCTATATGTAGTATAAAGAAAATGACAAGAAAAGTATTCTAACCTTGAACGATCCTACCAACAAGAGGTCTATACCATTCCTTTTTTGCAGCCAAAATAGCATTTTTGTCATCAATATCTACAAGTTTTTGCAAGATGTCTTCTGCTTTTTCTGTTAACGCCACGTCTGAACCCTTTAAGATGATAACAAGAAAGGAAACTGGATTACATTGTTGAGAAAGTTCCCTTGCATGATCCATATTTTGGCTGGACTCCTCAAGAACTAACTCAAGTATCAACTCTAATGAAGCTTTAGATAGACTTGAGTCACATCCTAAGCATGGAACAATGTTACAAAATCCCCCTATTTGTAACCAATAGATCCTATAAAATTAAACAAACAAAAATCAAATAAGATATAACGTGTTGTATGGGTAAAGTGGTTGATGTATACATATAGTTTTATTTTAGACCGAATAAAGAGTCCGAATGAAACTAATGACTATTTTATCTTTACTTTCCTAAAAACAAATTTCATAATATTTATTAATTTTAACATTACTCATCAAATTTAACATAAAAATGGGTTGCGATGAAAAAAGACGAAGGACAAATTGGTAAAGGGTTAATGTCTTAGTACATTAAATCAAGATTTTTTGGGTTAATGCATTAAGTCATTTTGTTTCCAATTTCCTCAAGTATGTCACTTTTTCTCAGATATATATATTTTTTAAATAGGATTTACCCAAATAAGATGTAATAGAAAAAAGAAGGGTAAGAATGACCTTGTTTCTTGAATGTCCCTCAACAGCATCCTTTAATGTAACCAACACATCCGTTTTCACTTGTGAATTACGTAAGTTTGGGAGGATGTCAATAAGCAATTTGGTGACACCACCAATTGAAATCCAATCTTTTATTTATTACATTCTCTTTCATAAGCTCTTGAATCTGAAAAAGTGCATCTTTCACGGATTCATCATTTTTCAACATCAATTTAAACTTACAAGATCTAATCCTCATACAATAATTAAGCTCTTTCCACTCTTCAATCGATTGTCTCAACTGAATATTCGATCTAAAAGATAAATCTTCAAGATCTTCACCCGTAACCGGATCCGTTTTTTCACCCGACCCAAACCATTCTTCAATCGCCACTCTGGAATAAGCAGTTCCATTCGAAAGACTAACAGGATCAACCATTACACTTTTAGTAATCCCACAAATGAAAGCTTTAAAAGGTGGAATGGATTCTGATTTTGAATCATGACGTTCGATTACTCTTAACCTTTGCATATACTGATCTTTCACATGTTCATAATCTCTAGCAGCATCTGCACGCGACAACAATTCGATAATTTGTTCCAAGAAATAAACTTCTGCTCTTTCTTTTCGGTTTTCCGCTTCTTCTTTCTCTCTTTTAAAGCTATCGAGCTCTTTTCTTATCTCAGAAGGCTCAATCACAACTCCTACAGCCATTGCTATATCTTCAATTATATCATTAGCAAAACCCTGATCAAGTTTTTGATTCATGAGCCCTTCGTTTAATTTATCAAGAATTTGAAGATGAGATTGACACGTTGCAAATTCGGCTCTTTGCATCTCGTTTTGTAATCTACTTATTTCATCAGATATTCCAGATAGGACTTCGGTGTTTGCAAGACATAGAGTGTTTAAAGACTTACCAATATCTCTTGTCACATCTTGTACTTCCTTTACAATGTGTCTGCATTTGATTAGCAGGTAGAAACGACCTCGATTCTTGTATTTTTCCACAAGTGTGTTGGCTTTTTTCACATCTGTTTCAAGGTTTTCAAGAGCTTTTCTTGCAAGTGGTGATTCGTTTAGTTTTTGTAGCTCGAGTTCCTTTAGAACACGGAGGATATCAAAGAGGTGAGATGAGAGGATTTTGAAACTTTCTTTTTCAATGACTATATCATTGGCAGCATGAGCAGTTTTGATGACCTGATTCATGGCAACAGCCAAGATTGTACCGATTGGTAGAATATCTGCCATTCCTGCTGAATATTGTGAAGAAACAGTTAAAAAAATGAAGTTTTTTTGTTGATATTGTAAAAATTAATCTTTTTCTGGACATAAATTTAATTCCATGACCAAAACCAGCCAAAAATATCTCAAAACGAAGGAATTCTGTAGTGGCATCTGATTAACTAGCAAAGACAAGGAGAATATGATCAAAATGAAGAGAAAAGGCTTGGAAAACTAATAGTTCCAAATAAGTAAGCAAAATCATCAAACAGTTGGTGGGCATGAAACTGTGGTTGGTAGTAACAGAGAAAACTTTCTACATTCTTCCAATTTTGTCACTTCCTTGGAAAAAACTACAAACAAGAAATCAATAAGAGCAAATCATAGACATGGATTTCTGAAGAATTACCTGTAAAAACAGCTGAAATGATGCGTGTATTGTGAAATCCAAAAGGACATCCACATTAAATATGACGATGGGAACGGAAGAAAGTCCACCGAGTTTACTTCCAAGTCAATTGGCGTGATTGAAATTCTCATGGTCGTTGATGTTGTCAAAATTACGAGTCGCGTTCCTATGAAATTTCTCATGAAATTTAATACATCTTTCCCACCTAAACGCCTTTTCATCCAGGGAACCATAAGATGGGTTCATAGTCATACACATGAAATAAAAAGAGCCGGTCAAACCAATTATTTTATTTTTTTATAAAAATTAATTCAATTGAAATTCGGTCTTAAAATTATTTCTCATAATACAATAATTATTTCATAATACACATCTTTACAACATTTTTTTTTTAAATTAACTGATCATATAAATTTTGTTAATATTATCACTATTTACATAAAACTAATTCGACAATTAGATTATTATATTGTTCGTATATTCAGATTATCAGATTAATTTTCAGATAAATAAAATTTAGTTTGATTTCGGATTGGTTTAATTTATAAAATAAAAATCAAATAATAAACTACCATCTATTTATTTTTATATATTATTTTTAATATATAATTTTATTATCTATTAGTTCACTAAAATTGTTTTAAATAGATTAAAAAGTTTCACCCGATATAGTAAACCTATAAGTATATATTTATTCTTAAAAGTATTTATATGTATAACATTAAATTAAAATTATATTTTGCTTAGGTGATGTTTATGAATATTAATTCATTACCCGATAATTTAATTTTTTATAAATTAAGTTATATATTTTAAAATATACTGATTCTTGAAATTTTTTTTGTAAAAAGCAATTCAACTAAATTGTAATTAGGATGGTTCAGATCAAATTTGAATTGTTTAAATCCACGTTTTGAAAACCAAAATCAATTTGAACTTTGTTTGGATAGAGCGATTATCGGACAAAATCGCTCCATCCAAACAATCATCCCTTGTTTTTGTAATTTAAGGGACGTGAAATTTGTTTTTGCTTTTGCCTCAGACCCTAATTATGCTTGGACCGGCTTATCTACAATCTAAATCAAGAGAAGAAAAAAACCAAACACTTTAAGTGTATTTGGTTGGGGTGCTTTGATACCAAAGCAGTTATCTCTTTTTATAAGCTTTGAGCCCTTCCGCACTTTCATTTTTTTAACTGATGTGGGATGGGGAAAACCTTCTTTCATATGGAAAACTCAACAATCTTTACCTTGGATAAATGAAAAAAAAAACTTAAACAAAAGAGGAACACTTTCTTCAACCAATAGTCATAATTCTACACTCATAGAATTATCATACTCTACCATGAAATATTATTGCTATTTAGAATAGACCATTCTAAATTTCACATTCGCACATGTTGAAAAACTTGTTGAAAGTTTACGGCGCAACTTCCTCGTTTGACATACATGGAAGTTCATAAGCCATCAACATCGACTCTCACCACACATCTTGCATTTATGTCAATCAAATGCTTATGTATAAATCTATGAACCCGCTAACAAAAACACATCCCTTTCTACGGTAACGAGCATACTATGAGGATTTCATAACTCAAAAGAAGCCATCATCGTCAATAGCAATAGAGACATTGTTAGCTATGTTTCAATTTCTCTAGAGATGCCTAGACTGTCCATAATTCCAACATACTAGATTCTTCTATGAGTTTTTCTTCTTCTCATTCCTACACATCAAAATCGTTCATTCTAACGAAGAATGGTTTGTTTCTCTCTAGTCCTTTATCCCATACAAAAGTTTTCCATAAATTCTATATCTATTTCTCATACATCATAACGAGCTTCATATGCTCACTGGATTATGACAAAGACAATATAAGCGTCAATGATTTTTCCTTATCTTCAACGTTCACACTGATAGCTTCTAGTTTCGACATGATATTATTACGAACACTTATATCACATCTCATATCGCATCTTGTTTGTTTTTTAGGTGGAACACAAAATTACAATGTTTATCTTATTGACATTGAACTTAGTAGAGTCTGGGTACAAAACATGTCAAACTTTTATACTTACAGTCTTATAGTTTTATACACGTGAAACATTGTATGTGTTATATTCTTATACTTACAGTCTTACAGTCTTATACATTGTATGTGTTATATTCTTATGTCATGTCTTATGCTAAGTAACAAAGAAGGATCTTCTCAAAATCATTCCATCCATCATAGGAATGACAAATTTTGACTCATTTACTTATATGTTACGACTTAAATAAGGGAAATAAAATTCTTAAGCTTAATAGAAAACAAGTTGAAAGACACCCAAAATCTATTCAAATAATTAAAACCGTTTTATCCCCAAAAAATAATGGTTACTGTCGTGAGAATGTCGTTTTTGTAATCATAACAGATTAAACAAGTAGCCTATTTTTGCAACTACAAGGTCGTACGAAGCGTCGCGAGAAGAGGGTGCGGGAGGCGTTCCCGCACATTGGAACACCGCATCTTCCCCTACGGGAAAGGAGGTGTGGGAAGGGAGTGGGGGATAGAGACCCCATATTCTCTATTCTATTTTGATTGGTTATGCTTTTCTTTTTTATTTCTTTTTTCTGTTTTTTAATATTTATTAAATTATATACCTACTAAAAAATTATAAAAAATATATCAAAATTAATGGTTTATAATTCCCTACAAAATAAGTATAATATTTGTATGAAATATAATTTTTTTAAAAAATAAAAAAATAGTGAAAGATCATTCACATACACACCCTGGTCCTGGTTTTGGTGAGGGGATGAAAAGTAAGGGAAATGCTGATGTGGTAGGCAAAATGCGATCGATTCTTCTGGCACACACCCTGAGTCTAACTCATACAAGAGATGAAAAGCTAGATTTGTTCAACCTATAATTCCATATTATAAGGATAATCACAAAAATGACCACGTAAAGAGATATAACCCATATTTTCATCTTTTGTGGAAATGACAACCTATTTCCGTTTTGGCTGGTTCAGATTTCAATAATATATAATATGATTTTTTTTGTTATCGTTTGCATAATAAACACTTTCAAAAACTCTTTACCCCTAAAATTCAAAATGTCCAGTATCATCAATTTTTTTAATAAAATGACACATTTGATGCTCATGTATCGTATCTACTTCTGCAATATTTAGTTTAACTTTTTGTTTGATTTTATTAAAAAAATCAATATATATTTTTGAAATTTCATATTTGTTCATCGGTTTCAGAAATGTATTTTGAAATTTTGGAATAGGTTTTTCTACGTCGGAAGTCCAAAATCCAAAATCTTTTTTTTTGTCGGAAAATTTAACTTTTTTATAAAATAAAGTCGGTCCAAAATAAAATGTTGGTCATTTTGGTAAAAACCAAAAGAAAATATGTTATCTCCTGATACTCCCAAATTTTGGATGGACATTTTTGTTATTTTTAATTGTCCAATTTGTTGATTACAACTGCAATAAAATAATTACAATAATTTTATTGGAAGCACTTTTATTACACTTTGATAAGCACATAACATGAACTAAAAAGCATGTTCGCGACAGAATACAGTAGACTGTAATAAGTTACATCTCCATGTAGTGATCGATCACTGTGTGCTTCGCTTGCGAGCTATCTCCCGAGCCATTTCTCTTAATTCCTCTGGTGATTGTGGCCTTGGTCCCTCTGGAGGGTACACAACATATTGTCGCTTCAAAAGAAATACAAGTGAAACATTTCAAAAATTAACCAAAATGTCATAATCAAAACCATCTACATTTGGTTTCAAGGATTTTTATACTTTTTTTTAAGTGTGAAAAATGAAAATCAGTGGTTGTCATTTTTTTTTCTTTTAAGGATATGTGAAGTAAAGGGTTAATGACATAGTTGGGTAACCAACTATCCAAAGTGTTTTAAAAATAACCATTGTACTAAAAAAAATCTAAGGTAACCAATTTTTTTTAGTACATGGTATTTTAAAACACTTTAAAAAGTTCGTTACCTAATTATTCGTTAACCCTAGATTTTTGGAAGTACAATGTTGTAAGAAAAACAAATAGAAGTATGATGCTATAATAATTAAATCAATGGAAGTACGTCACTATTTTCTTTCATTTAACACTTAAGAGAAACAAGAAACTTCTATGCCTATAAATCAAAGTATGATGCTCTGATAAGTAAACTTCTTGTAATTAAAACCAAAAGAGAAACAAGAAAACACATGCTTTTAACAAGAAACAAAAAACAAGAAATTTCTTGCATTTTAAATAAATAATTTCAGGTATATTCCTATGTTTCCTATTGAGAGTAACTAATGTTTTGAACTTTAAACTATTCATGGGTATTCATTATTATTGTCATAAAACACAAAAAAAAAAAAACATATAACTTTCACATCTACTCATTCTGTTCTTATTTTCTCTTTTTCATCAATGTGTCGAACACAAACAAAGATGCTTTATGTCACTGTGGGGTATGCATTCACAAGCTCTCTTGAATTTATTTTTTCATGTCTTTTTGGCCAACTTTTTTAATTTTACTTTAACATCTTACTATTAAGTTACATGTATTAAAGGTTTGGTGGATGAGCTACATTCTGAAAGGAAATTTGATAACAAGCATATGCTATTTACACATATATATGATATCATCACATTACAATATAACAAATATCAGGTTTACAAGATTTCATTATTTATGTTAACTTATGTAATGGATTTTATGATTATTTGCTTTATAACATGGGTTCAATTTAATGTACATTATCTATGTTAAATCTTACTCAACTTAACCCAAAACCACTGGAAGTTGGTATAAAGCTAGACAGGAGATATTTAGACTGAAACTGATATTCCGTTTGACATTTACCTCAATTACCATTTTCTTTGAGCATTAGGCAATTTCTAGGAATGGCAAACTGATAAGCCCCTACATTTCTGGCCCAATCCTTACTAGTTTAAGTAGGAGGGTAATACAGTCAATACAATGAACTGTTCTAGGATGTGAAGGGGAGAAATGATGCCAAGGGTATTTCTGTCTTTTATCTATTTATTTTCCTATTCGAGTGTCTGTAGCCCAATTTTGAGTGAAGACATTTGTAATGGGGGACAATACTTTTGTTTGCCGTGTTACTTTCTAGTCTCTAGCATACTATTTCAAATTATAATCTTACTACCTACCATCCAACATTCGTATCTTTGTTGTTTGCACAATTCGATTAAAAAACATACATAAAAGAAGAT